GGTGGAGGACGAGGCGGCGGCGGGGAGTGCGGAGGGGGGTGAGGGTGGTGGAGAGGCGAGCAGCAACGACACCGCTGTTGTGGACGGTGGGGGGGGCGAGATCGGAGTGAACGTTTCTGCGGTCAACGACACCGGGTGAGGTGCCTGAAGAGCTTCGTGGTGCACTGGCCTTAATCTGGCGAGGCTTGAGGGGGGGGGACGCACTCATGTTTTGCACCCCTTAGGGGAGGCGGGGCGGGGCGGGGGTATGGTATTTTGTCTGTTGACGGCTGTGGCGGGGTGGTGCTCGTAGGGCCATCGCCTCCATCAGTGGGGGCGGTCCTGCGAAATGAATCTACGCTCATGTACGCAGGTATCGGATCGGGTGGAGAGTCTGCCGTTTTTTATAGTGACGATGTGTACGAGGCCCTCTTAAGGCCTACTCTCAAAGTCCGATTGCTCCAGTACTAAGAGGGTGCTAATGCCGAACGATACGTAATCGGAAAGCTCTGGGCGGTGATATCTCTTCACTCGACTCCTTTTTAGCACCGATACTTTGTTCGACTTCTGCGGAACCACCGAGCCTTGACAGTGAGCCACAAGTCGTCTGTTGTACACCCTCCAGCACGGCGGTAGATGACGATGCCCGCGGTAAATAACCCGGTGCCAGCCATCAAGATTCCGTGGATGTACTGGTCGCGTAAACACGGGTGATCACCACCCAGTGACGAGAAACCGAGCTCCACGACGCGGCGTGATAAGTTTCTGTTCGGACTTGTCCCAAAGGACACAAATATTGTGATCGCTGGCCTGGTTCGCCACTCCTCTCCCAACCCTTCGCTTATTTAGCTATCTGCGTTGGGACGGCCGTTGAAGAGATGCTTTGGAGTTGCTTGCATTGCGCTATCCTTACGGCCTCATCCACGTTTTAGCCCAGTCCGGAGTTACAGGTTCTCCATTTAGGGGATGGCTTTTCGTGCACGCAATATGGCCTGCTTGGCTTAGATCACGCTCGAGTGTTTGTTCCGAAGGGTGACTGGTTTCGCTGCGTGTCTCTCCTTCCAGGTTTACTGCGGACTACACGTTTGCCTTCGAGCCGATCGTCTTGCTCCTGCCAGACAAGATCCAGGAAGGCCACGGCTTCAAATGGGTAAGCCACCGTTCCACTCGGCCTCCCATCACAACCCTGTATCGCACCGGCGGGGATTTAGGCCACAGTATTTATGAGCTTGAGTTGTTAGTTGTGGTTCATGACGCCTTACGCGGACAATTTTTCCCCGGCGATTGACTCGTTGGACGAGAAAATGTGGTTCATGACGACTTTTTTTTTTTTGTTGCCACTACTGTTGTCGTGTGCCGGTTGGCCAGCGGCTTCTCGTTGATGTCGCTCTAGTCTCCCCCCCGGACGCGCACATGATTTCGCTTCCGCCCTCGTAGTGTTGTGCGTTCCATCTGAATTGGACATTGGGCTCCTACCGATCCGTGGAACCTTGTGTTTGTTTTCATGGTGTGCTATGGACCCTCGCCCATCAGCAGCACAGCAGTATGCACGGCTTCCTTCTTTGCATTTCGTGCTTGGGCGTCCACCGGCTTTTACCCCTTGCGTGACTGAGTTCATACGACTTTTTTTTTTGTGGCCTCCTCCTCGAGAGGCAGCTCTTGGGAAGTCATTCGCTCCAATATGTTACGTGAGTGCATGTGCAAACAATCGCGAAGGTACACACACACGAATCACGGCGGCAAATGATGATGCAGCACCGAGGAGACGCCCATGTGTGTTTGAAATGCTTCTGCTGGCAAAGCAGTCGGAACTGCAACTTCAACTGCTGTAGTCACGTCAGGGCTGAGCTCGTGTGCGATACCCACGTGTTCCAGAGAACGGCTTATATATCTACGTTATCACACCGCTTTTTTTGGCAGGAGAATGTTGCAAAAATAGCTGCAATTTTTTTCTGCAACTTTGCTCGGGAACTTTTGTCAGTAACACTTTTGGTGCACGCTCATTACGGAGCGAAGAAAGTTTTGACTGGCGGAATACGGAGGCTTGTTTTATTTTTTTGCAACGGCGAGAAGAAGGCACACGCCTTTCATATCATACCGCGAAAAAACCGGCCAGAGCGTGCGGGAGAGGGTAGTTGCATTTTTTTTCTCCACACTCACAATAACCCAAGGCATAATAACGTGGTACCAGAAAGATGCTGGGTAGAGCTAGCTTCCTCGGGGTGACATTGCTGTTGCTGTGGCCCCCTCCCTCGAAAAGTTATCCTTGGGAAACCACACCATGAGAGCACACAATCCCCGCGAACTTGAACCAACCGCTTTCTGACGTGGGTATTTTTGGGTCAATCAAAACTTTTTTCCCGACGCGCACGATACCCCACGGCACCAAACCTTGGGCATGAAAGATAGAGCAGAGAGCGACCTCCCGCCGAGTGGCCTTGCTACTCCTGTTGCTCTCTCGGTCGGAAAGTTATCGCAGAATTATCGCAGAATAACCAAACCCGTGGCGATCGAGAACACCGAACTTGAACTAACCACTCGTGGCCGTTGACGGTCGTGCACAGTACAACTTTTTTCCCGGCGCACTCGACACCTCACATCGCCAAACCTTGGCATTGCCCAACAGCGCCTGGCATCACCTCCTTCCAGATACCATTCATGAGGCAACTCGTTTGGTATTCGTCGAGATATCGATGATCACGGCCTTCCCACAATCGAAGCTGGAGAAGGTCTACGTGTGTGGCACCGGTGGCGGCTTGACGTGTATTGGCGGAAGTTGCGCCGCGCAACTTTTGTTCCGACACCTTCGTCGCGAAAAAAAGCTGCATAGCTTTTCTCCAGATTGCAGCTTTTTGCTCCTCAGAAAAAGTTTCAATTTTTTTTGCGCAACATTTTGCTCCCATACTGAGCGTACATGAGGAAAGTCGCAAGAAAAGTTGCAAAACTTAACAGTTGCAAAATTTTAACTTTTCTTGCAACATTCTGCTGCCATAAAAAGTGATGTCACCAGGTTATCCACTCTCACCTGCACAGATATGAGCTATTCTCTGTGAGTTCGATTGTAGACATGCCAAGCGTTCCATGATCACAGTAAAAGCGGGCAAGCTGCAGTACTCCAAGCGTGCATGCAATTCCAACTCCTCCGATACTTCGTCATCCGGTCAGTCATGCGTGGTTATCACTCACAGAGTCGCGATCACAGCTCGATAGCGCTCAGGATCAGGTTCGTTCAAAAAGGTTTCGTGTTCACTTCCGGACACTTCGGTGGGACACTTCGGTCAGTCGCGATCACAGCTCGATAGCACTCAGACCACTTCACAACGGTTTCGTGTTCACTTCCCGAGTTGTCCCGAAGTAAACACGAAACCTTTGTGAACGAACCTGATCTGAGCACTATCGAGCTGTGATCGCGACTGTGAGTGATGACCACGCATGACCGGATGATGGAGAATCGGAGGAGTTGGAATTGCATGCACGCTTGGAGTACTGCAGCTTGCCCGCTTTTGCTGTGATCATGGAATGCTTGACATGTCTACAATCGAACTCAGAGAATAGCTCATATCTGTGCAGGTTAGAGTGTATAGCCTGGTGATAACGTGGATTAGCCATTTTTTGGGACACACGAGAGTAAGAATTAAGGGTGTGCTCCACAAGCCCCCCCCCCCCCCAGTCCCACACTACATACAGCCTTCACGAACCACGCTTTGACTGAGCATGCCGGGTTGGTCTTGGGATTTGGCTTATTTTTTGTGCGTCAGGTGAACTTCACGATGGAGCCGAGCGTGTGCCTGCGCGAGGCTGGGTTCGTGTCGCGACTTTTGGCGGCGACGGTGATCGGGTACGACGAGATTATGGTCAACATGTTCATGTACTCCATGAGGTCAAAGGGACTACTTTAAAAAACCCAGGGGGGAGAAAAAAAAAAAAGGAAAAAGAGGAAAGAAAGGAAGGAAGGAAGGAAGGAAGGAAGGAAGGAAGGAAGGAAGGAAGGAAGGAAAAAAAAATGGGGGCCTGTGTGGGAACCCAACCGGGCCTGGGGGCCTGG